GAAAAGAACAAAGCATGTCTCAGCTATCCTGCTTTGTTCTCTCTAACATTCTAAAGAAATACTTCTCTCTTCTCGTGTTAGGTTGAGTCAACACCTTATGGTTCTAAATAAAACCACCTGATCCGTCTCTCTGATTGAAGCCCAAGTAGCAGATCGTCCCAGAGTCGGTTGTGGGAACGATAATACTTGACGGACGCGACTCAACACGCCATGATACACTCTCGGGCTCTCTCACACTCACACACACGCACACACACACACACACACACACACACACACACACACACACACACACACACACACACACACACACACACACACACACACACGCACACACACACTTACTCCACTGCCTTCTTGGGCTGGTCATAACAACAGCTCGAACAAGAGCCCAAAGCGGCTGTCCATCAGGGAACGCATTATGCGCCATTTTGGCGGCAGTAAGGTCCGTAGCGCAAGAGAGACAGCCTGTACATGTGTGTGTGTGTGTGTGTGTGCACGACTACGTGTGGGTGCGACAGTGACTGCCTGAGCTTCCACAAATTCAATGGTGTCATGTTGACCCTGGCTGCTTGAGTTCATTCGTTCTCCCTCCCTCACCATGCATCCGTTGCCACGTTGCCATCCGCCATGACAGCAAGCGTATCGGGTGTTTGGGGAGCCGCTCGCTGTTGCTGTGGAGCGCTCGTCTCTGCAAGACTGCATCCCCCTCCCCGCCGTCTTTCGCCGCTGCCTCCTCTACGTCCAGCACAGAGGTGCACTTTGTGTGCTCTGTGTGTGGTGTGTGGTGTGTGGTGTGAACTGTGTGGTGTGTGGTGTGTGGTGTGCTGTGTGCTGTGTGGTGTGTGTGTGTGTGTGTGCTGTGTGGTGTGTGTGTGTGTGTGTGTGAGAGAGAGAGAGAGAGAGAGAGAGAGAGAGAGAGAGAGAGAGAGAGAGAGAGAGAGAGAGAGAGAGAGAGAGAGAGTGTGTGTGTGTGTGTGTGTGTGTGTGGGCGTGTAGGTGATATCACCTTGTCGAACATTACTGTCACCTCACTCGCCGTGAATGGGACCACCAGGGCTGACGCAGGAGGGCATCTATCGAAAGCCGGCGTCGCACGCCCAGGTGGAGAAGCTCAAGGCAGCGTTCGAGCAAGGTACGGTTGCTGATCGTGTTCAGCATAACGTGACTGCTGCCAATATGTGCCAGCCAACATGAGGCACGTGTAAACGACTATCGAGCATCTTGTTCTGCGCTCACAACACACACACGCACGCAATATCAGATGGGGACGTTGATCTGCCGGCGTTCTTCAGCCAGGGGGCGGCGCACAACGACGTCAACACGACTGCGAGCCTGCTCAAACTCTATCTCCGCTCCCTTCCAGAGTGCATCCTCACGGAACAGCTGCAGGACGACTTTAAACAAGGTACACGCACATGTACACGCGACAGTGTGCTTCGTATGCGTATGGCCGTACTTGTGTGCATGCGTTTGGGCTTACAGTTGCTTTTGATGCTTCTGTCTCACGCGCAATGCGTTGTCAATACATGTGCGTGCGTGTGTGCTGTTGTGTGTGTTTGTGTGTGTGTGCTGTTGTGTGTGTGTGTGCGCGTGCGTGTGTGCTGTTGTGTGTGTGTGTGTGTGTGTGTGTGTGTGTGTGTGTGTGTGTGTGCGTGTGCTCTCGACAGCTGTGCGGGCTGAGGCGGCTGCAACGCCTGCGGATGTGGTGGAGCGCGTGAAGCGACTGCTGTTCCAGCTGCCACGTTGCAACTACCTTGCCCTTGGATGGCTCTTCAAGCATCTCGCCCAGATTGTGGCACACGCCGACAGCAACTGCATGTCGTTTGACAACGTCTACATCGTCTTTGCTCCAACCATCAGCCTCACAAAGGTCCGCTTGTGTGCTGGCTTTTGTGGATTGCCCGCAAAGGGATTTGCTGTTTGTGTTGTTGCTGTTTGCGCGTTGCTGTTTGTGTTGTTGCTGTTTGTGTTGTTGCTGCTTTCGTGTTGTTGCTGTTTGTGTTGTTGCTGTTTGTGTTGTTGCTGCTTTCGTGTTGTTGCTGCTGCTTGCGCGTTGCTGCTTTCGTGTTGCTGCTTTCGTGTTGTTGATTATGCTTCCGCGCGGGATTCACAACGCTCATATTCAGCCTGCACCGCACTCACGCCAACACTCACCACCGACCCCACACCATACACACGGCTTGCCTTCCCCCCCCCCCGGCCGTCGCCCCGACAGAATGTGATGACGGTGCTTGTTGAGCATGCGGACTCGCTCTTCCCCGATGTTGATCTTGTCGACTGCTCATTCTTCAACCGCCGCAGAAGCGGAAGGTCTGCTCCTCTCCTCAGTGTGTGTGCGTGCTTTGATGTGTCGATGCATGCATGTGTCCTGTTGTTCCAGCGCTTACATCACACACGCCGCGTGCCACATGAGCTACGGCATGGTACCTCACACAATCCTTTCCCTCCCTATCACCACCACCACCACAACCACTCGACACCACGACTACCACCACCTCATCGTCATCGTGCAGGGGGCGGCGGGCCCGACGTCGGGGATCGCAGCAGATACACGGGCCCTTGCACCCCATGCCGTCAGCAGACGTGCTTGCACGCAACGAGCACGCCATGAACCTTCTTGCTCGCCTCAGCCACGACATCATAGCCCTCGAAAAGGTGCCCTAATTGCATCCCCACTGTGTGTAATGTGTGTGTGTGTGACGTCGAATTACTCCCTTTCTTTTGACAAGCACATCTTCTCACGCCACCACCACCACTGCAGGCGCTGCTGTCACACGAGGCCGAGATGGCGGTGTTTGCCGCGCGCCATGAGGAGTACCCGCCTGCCCAGCGCGAGCAGATGGCTGAGATTGAGGCGCGTCTTGCCACCGACCGCCAGTGCTACCAGCGACTGCAGCAGCGCACGCCCGGATGTGCACCGCCACCGCTGGAGCCGCAGCTCGCACGCGCGCTCAAGGACACATACGCGACGCTTGCTCTCGAGGTGGGCACGCTGCGCTGTCATTGGGCAATAATTGGTGTGCTTGGCGTGTGTGTGTGCGTGTTTCTGCTGTTCCGGCATGTGTATGCATTGTTATCGTCCACCGCAGATGGTTTGCTTCGTGTGTTGCTGTTGTTGTTGCTGCACACGCCCTAACAAGCATCTCTCAAAGCAAGAGCGTCTGCATCCTACCTTCGTCTTCACTTCATCTCACCTCATTTCATCTCACGTCACCTCATCCCCCTGATCACGATGGCTCGTGCATCACAACAGCACCTGCATCTGAAGCAGACACAGGCGGCGCTGCTAGACTTTCTGCTGCAGGAAGAGACGGCGCTCGGCGTGCTGGAAGATCGCGCGCAGCAGGTGTGTGAGGACAGCATCACATGGCTGAGTCTGCAGTCGTTTGCACACACGCGCGCGTGCATGCATGCGTGCGTGTGAGTTGAATGAGTGAGTGGGTGAGTGAGTGAGTGATTCAAGGTCATGACGAGACCGCAGATGGCCGCATTACGTTATGTCATTGGACACATTCATCATATCAAGTCTCACCCGCCATATATGTGATGTGCAAACGATGCATGTGCGTGAACATTGATTTCCTGTCAACTTCAACATCGTCAGGAGCCGCCACTGGACGACCGGGCCCTCAGTCCGCACCATCCGCATGCGCTGCTGGCGACCGTTGACGATACAGAGACATTGCGCAACATGCTGCAGCGCCTGGCAGACGAAAACACGCGCCTCTCCAGCGAAAACACACACCTTTTGCAGGTCCGTTCCATGCACGTGCGCGTTGCGTTGATGTGACGTTTGCACGTGTGATCAACACTTGTGTCTGCTTTTTCGTTCACGATGTCCTTCCACATGCACACACACACACACACACACACACACACACACACACACACACGCACTCACGTGTTTCCATGACTAATTGTACGTACCCTTGTTTGTCCTTGACGCTGCTCTTCAACATCAGGAGCTGAGCGCTGAGGCCGACGTGTACTGCGAAAAGGCCGGCGCTGTCTCCGCCACGGCAACATGCACCCACCACGGCGAGGAGCAGCAGAAACAAACGCAGGAAAGCAAGCAGCAGAAGCAGCAGAAGCAGAAGAAGCCGGGGGAGAGCGATGCGTTTGAGGTGGATGTGTTGCAGAACAACGGATGCACCACCACCACTACCACCACCACCACCACCACCACCAACGACAATGGCAGTGGCAGCGAACACACCACCACCACCACCAGCAGCAGCAGCAGCAGCACCGAGGACGAGGATGAGGTGGCATACATGCCATCACTCTCGTCGTTGGAGGCGCGAGCCATCTGGACAAAGGCATTCCAAGACTCGTTGCTGCTGGAGGTGGAGAGCCAGAGCGCGGATGTGACGCAGAGCGCAGACGTGTCGATGCTCGAGCGCTTTTCGTCGTCGTGTTTGTCCGAGCTTGTTGTGGACCCCAAGTCCGTTGCCATTGAGATGGAGAGTGACGCTGACACCACAATTGTGCCGGACATGGATGACCACACCTCCCCTCGCGGATACACACACCGCCTCTCCGGCGTGGTGGAGGAGCACTCTGTTGTGGATGACGATGATGACGTTGTTGGTGACAACGTCGTTGGTGATGATGATGATGACGGGTCTGTGGCAGTCGAGTGCCAGTCGCCCGTGTCGATTGCATCATGGCCCGGCACGCGTCCTGACAGCGTGAGCCAGCGCCACAGCAGCGCAAGCAGCAACCACTCGCTGCCCGTAACGGCTGACATTGCCACCAGCAGCACCCGGAGCAGCCTCCATGCCACGTGCGTTCGCCGCCTGTCGAGCTCGGCGGCGTCGGAGGACATGCAGCAGCGAGGGGAGTGTGCACAGGGCGATCACGATGGCGGCTTCCACAGTGCCCAAGATGAGCAGCACAGACACGCCAGCCATGGTGGCGGCAGCAGCAGCGGTGTGTCGCCGTCGTCGCCGCTGTTCAGCGCCGGTGGCGGCCGCAGCAGCAGCAGCCCGCGTGGG